CAGAGTAAACAAGAGTATGCAGATTTAAGTCCTTGCCTTCCGCACTGATAAGAGTTTCTAGAGATAAGGTCATCCCCCCTTCTTCCTAGTACGGAGAGGGAGACATCTTTACAAATGGAGATTTCCCTTATAAATGTAAATGTCTCTCGCAAAGGATAACTTCTACTTTTACTTGGAATGGGCTTAGCAAAGATCCTCCCAGTCTATCCTTACCCAGAGTTAAATTCTTTTAGGCAGTTAGTTGGGGGTGAGGGAGGTCAAAGTTTCTTTCAGAGAAAATAATCAAGGTAAAGAGACATGTTTTGAGGTGGCCAATTCTGATCTCCCACAATATGGAACACAAGTACTGTGAAAGAAATAGGAAATGCTGATAGGGCTCAGAGGAAAAGAGAATTTTCACCAAAGGTGGTTGGGCAGGGTTGACAGAGAGGGAGGCAGTGGCAGAAGGCACCCAGTTGTGGAATCAAGCAGACCAGGACTCATGCCGTGGCTCTGTCATCTGCTAATTGTATGACCTTAGGCACTGCACTGCTTTACTACTCACAATGTGGTCTGGGTCACGGGCAAACCTGGGAGCTTGTTACAAACTCTGAATCTCAGGCCCCACTGAGGCTTCTGCGTGAGAATCTGCATTTTAATGAGTCCTCTGTGAATCGCATGCACAGTGAGGTTTGAGAAGCCTGCTGTACGGGATGATGGTTATTGCTGCCCCAGCATCCACTTCTTCTTATGGCAAATAGGGCCTCCAGTTTGCTTTGGAGGAACAATCCCTTCCTTGTGAATCAATTACCAAGTGGTTTGGGTTGGAGCTAAGCCAATCAGTGCATTCCATCTCCCAGGCTACAGTGGCTGGTCCATGAATTGGCATGTGGCCTGGGTCAGGCCAATCAGAGTAAAGCCAGGGCTGGTGTTTGGTTACTTGAGAAAGCTGACTTGCTCTTCCTCTCAAGATAAGGAGAAAGGATGTTGGGTTATCATTGCTGTGAACCATGTTATAGAGGGTGTTGGTGTTGTTCCTGCTGTGTACCATCTTATGGAGGGTGTTGGGGTTGTCACTATAGAGGATGTTGGGGTGGTCTCTGCTGTGTACCATCTTATAGAGGGTGTTTGGGTTGTTATTCCTATAAACCATCTTACAGAGGGTGTTGGGGTTGTCACTCTTGTGTGCATCTTGTAGAGGATGTGGGGTTGTCACTGCTGTGAACCATGTTATAGAGGGTGTTGGGGTTGTCACTCTGTGAACCACCTTATAGAGGCTGTTGGGTTGTCTCTCCTATAAATCATCTTATGACTACTTGGGTCCTGAAAATGGACAATGGACCAAGTAAAGACAGCAATGAAGAGATAACGCCCCCTTATGGTGATCTTCTTTGAGCCTGTATAAAGGAAGTTAAGTCTAAGAAACTGTTTAATTACATGACCCAATGAATTCTCTGTTTGCTTAAGTCAGTTTGGGTCAGGCTGTCTGACATTCAAGAATTAGATGAGGCAGTGTGTCTGAAGCATCCAGTACTCTGCTGTGGCACACTGAGCTGCCATGCTGATGCTGTGGCTGTGGCTATGGCCTCTGCAGTGATGGCTGTGGCAATTGAACTTGTCCTTAAAGTCTTTGAAGACTTTTAATGGCTCCAATTTAACATAGACAAAGAAGTAAAACCTCAAGATAAGTTTATTGAACTTTGGCTAATCTAGACAAAACAGTTTTGTAGGCTATTTTCTTTTGCAGAATAAAATTGGGGGTGCAAAAATTGAGGGCTAGCAGGTATCTGAGTAAGATACCAAAAGGATCAGCTCTTGTACTTTATAAGATTAGTCTGTTCTCCTAAGGGAGAGAAATGTTCTTCCCCTCTCCTGATGCTTCCTTCTAGTAGCCTCTCTTACTGCCTAACTGGGGATAGAGATGTCTATCTGGGTGGTATTTTAGGAAGCATAACTGGGCAAGCTTAGTTCAGCTCTGCCCTTCTTTTTCCTCTCTGTTTGAGTAGCACCTGAGTTATCTGATGCTTCTCTGGGCTTTTAGTCATACCTTGGGTTGACTGCGTCTGTCAGGGCACACCTGTCCAGGCAGTCATATACCTGGGCCACATACACCTGCCCTCCCATAAGTACACACCTGCCCCAGGCCAGTGCTGCAAAGACTGGATGGCTAAGTTGGCCTAAAGTGAAGTCAGTCCAGCAAGCCACTTTGCCCACACACCCAAAGCCATATCCTCCAACGTGGCCTCCATCGGGAATAAAGATGCCTCCATCTCTACTCACTGTCTTAGTTCTTAACATTTTCAGAAGCCAGGCCGGGAAGAGGGATGCTCTTTTTGGGAGACTCCGTGAAAGCTGCAGTAGTCAGAATAGATTGGAGAGGGCTGAGATGGAAATAGGGGAACCAGCTTTGAAGTCACTGCAAGGACTAAGGCTGTGCTAGTGAGATAACAAGGAAAGAAAAGGAAGGAAAGGGAGAGAAGTGAGAGAAAGTGAAAAGGAAGCATCCATAGGAAGTGGCGTTTTGTGACATGCAGGCTGAATAGGGAGGCTGTGATAAAGGGAAGGATGGAGGGGGAATTCAGTTTTAGGGCTGACAAGGTATCTGGATGGAAAAATCCAGTGAGAAATAAAAATGTAAGGCTGAGGGTCAAGAGAAAGGGAGAGGGGTATTGCACAGAAATAAAAACTGAAACCTAGAGTTGTGGATGAGATCCAGCAGGAGAAAATGTGGAGGATAAAGAGAAGTCAGTTAAGGACAGAACCAAATAGGACGCCCGTGTTTGGAAGCCTGGAGGAGAACAAGGAATGGGCAAAGGAGAGCGCGTCTGCAGTGAGAGAGGTCAGAGAATGAGAAGCATGGAAACTACAGGAGGGCAGAGTTTCAAGAAAGGAGAGACCCTAAAAGTGTTAAAAATAAATAAACAAACTACAGGGGGGCCAGGGAGAAGACCTGGGTTGACCCCTGAGAACAGTTCAGATGCCAGGTGGCAGGGCCCAAAGGCCCAGCTGTCTCTTGGGAGGAAACCTGTCCTCCTCACCCAGGAACCCAGGTACAAGGCAGAAGGCGCACACGAGAGCTGGGAGGAGTAGAAGCCCAGACGTCGGGGGCCGGCCCCATGGCTTAGCAGTTAAGCGCGCGCGCTCCGCCACTGGCGGCCCGGGGTTCGGATCCCAGGCACTGACGCACCGCTTCTCCTGCCATGCTGAGGCCGCGTCCCACATACAGCAACTAGAAGGATGTGCAGCTATGACATACAACTATCTACTGGGGCTTTGGGGGAAAAAAATAAATAAAAAAAAACAAATTAAAAAAAAAAAAAAAAGAAGCCCAGACGCCGAGCAAAGATAACAAGACGATCTAGGTCAAAGTCGTGGTGAAATATCATGGGTCTACCCAACACAGTCAGGCCACACTATCTAAGGAGGAGACAGTAGCTCTGCCTCTGTTACAAGCTGAGTCTCCCTCTGGCCTGCCACTGAATTCCTGCCGCCTTGCTGGATGCCGTTTCTGATGACTTCAGCTGAGATGAATCCCAGAGAGGGGACTATTTTCTCAAAGTCTTGCCTCTTTAAGCACTTAGTGGGGAAAAAAAAGGAAAAAAAAAAAAGCTGCATAAAAGAAACCACAGAGACTTAAAAAAAAAATCCTCTGATAAGTTGCATTCAAATCACCTACTTAGGAAAGAAATTAATGTTAACTGCTAAGGTCAAAGAATGAACTAAAGACGTGGCTCTGAAATTTGAACCTCAATTTTTCATTCTGGTCACACATTATGAATTCTCTGTGGATTTGACATTGATTCTACCATTTAAAGCAGCCATGCAAATGTGTCCTGGCCCTCGGGCCTGGGGGATGGCTGGCCGCCTGCTGTGCCTCAGTTGGGCTGCACTGGGCCCATTGTAAATGGACCCTCCAGCTAGGAGAGGCCAGGTACCGCCCCTTATTCTGTCAGTCCCCACCTACCATTTGACAGTTACCTGTCATGTGACATCCATGGAGAAAAATTCCCCTTGGGTAATCGAGAGTCAAAATCTTACTAAACCATTTCTCGCAGGAATGGGTTACTTTTTAAAGGGGAGAAGGCCAACCAACATGAAAGGAATATTTTACACAAAGTATTTTAAAATTAAAAACTAAATTATACTCTTATAGTCTGCAGTGTATCACTGACTCCGCTGGTAAGAATGAAGGATAGGAAAAGATCTGTGGTGTTCTTAAATAAAGCTTTTGCGGTATTGAGGATATTTCCAAAGACTCTGCAAGGCCAATTTAAAGAAACTATTTTCCCAAAAGCATTTCAAGGGAAGTAAATGTTCTACCAGTGTAAATTTTCTAACACGCTTGGGCTGAACACTTAGACATTCTAATTTCAATTTAGAACCAATCTTATTGTTCAGCATGACAGACGTTATGAAAAAAGGACTCAACTTTCAGTGAACTGAAAACAAAAAGCCCGTAATGCATCCATGTTACCACATTATTCAGCTCACGCGCTATTATTACTATGTGCTCAATAAACACACATTAAACCTTTCACTAGTCCTAATTACTCAGACGAAAGCAAATTTTTGCATAAAGTCCATATTATTAAAATATTATCACACTCTTCCACATTAAACTAATTGGGCACAATTTTCAGATTTTCTGCAGTAAATTGAATATGTTCTCAGTCATTACTTGGAGGCCAAGCAAACACATTTCAAAAGCTGTCAACACTTGGAAATCTTCTGCCTGGATCTCAGCTGCTAAGGTAATGATTGTTAAACTTCGTCCTCTGCACAGAGATGGGCAGCCAGGGCCTTCATTAAGGGCACTGCAGGCTTTCCTGGTGCCTCAGCACTCAGCTGAGACCACACCTGGTATGTTCTGGTGGACCAGAAATGAGACGGCCACAGGTTCATGGACAGGGGAGCAGGCATCTAGCTATACTCATGAGGGCAAAATTGAATGGTTTAGGTTGAAGAGGAAAACTATTGCTCTCTCTTCACTTAGGTGCACGTGAGCACATGCACATACTTCTCCCTGCAAAACTATCTCGTCTCTCATTTCTGTAACAATCAGCCATCTCTTGCCCACAGCAGGAAAAGAATCACATCAGCAAAATAGAAGCAGTCATTCTTTCTTTTTGCCGCTTGCAATTAAAGCCCAGCCTCTCAGCTCAGCTTAGCAGGGACACTCCTGTCTACTTTAAAAACTTGCCTGAAAGTAGTAAAGTTTTTTCATCTTTAAGAAAAGGAGGCAGATGGCATTTTATATCACTGTTTTAATGAACATTACTTCATTGTTATTGCCGACAGTCACGCTTCAGAGAGGTTGTGGTTGCACACATGGTAAAGAAATATCTTCCAAGAATGAATGGATGTAGAAATTATGGTATATATATACACACAACGGAATATTATTCAGCCTTTAAAAAAGAAGGAGATCCTGCCATTTGCAACAACATGGATCAACCTGGAGGACACTCTGCCAAGTGAAATAAGCCAGACACAGCAAGAAAAAAAATACATGACCTCACTGAAATGTGGAATCTAAAGGAGTTGAATATAGAAAAGCAGAAAGTGGAGCAGTGGTTACCAGGCTCAGGGGTGGGAAGGTGGGGGAAATGGGGAGATGTTGGTCAATGGGTGCAAAGTTGCCATTGCATAGGGTGAATAAGTCTAGAGATCTAACGTACAGCATGATGATGAGAGTTGATAACACTGTATTGAATACTGGAAATTTGCTAAGAGAGTAGATTTCAGGTGCTCTCATCACAAAAGAAATATGGCAGCTATGGGAGGAGGAGATATTAATTAGCTTGGTTGTAGTAATCACTCACTATGTACATGTGTATCAAATCATGTTATACACCTTAAATATACACAATTTTTATTTTAAAAATTAAAAATACAAGAAGTGTCCACCACAAGAGTAAGTGACTCTACTCAGGGGACCTATGGCCTGCAGGTTTACATTTCAATCTGGAACGATGGGCAGAGGCTGAATATCTCATAAGGATGGCTTTGTGATCCAGCAGGCAGAGCCCGCTGAGGTGTTCAAGAAACCTTCATCCCTAAACCCCAATCAGTTTTCAGGTTGTAGTCAACATTTTCTATTTGAGTATTTTTGGTGGTGGTTCACCCACTTAGCAATCATTTACACTATGTCCTATGCTAGACATGAGGAATAATGCTGAGTAGGACCCAGGACACACCGTCAAGTGCTCACACTGGGGATGTTTGATAAGTGTTTGCTGTTTGACTGTTTGTATAGGGTGACCCAGACTCTAGAATTTACTCTCTGGCCTAGCAGACTTCATAGCTGAGTTACCATCAATGAAATTCGAGGAAGTATATACTTTCCAGAATAATGTACATGACTTCAACTATATGGCAGTTTGTGTCTTTGAAATGTTTTTTGAATTATGAAATATTTCAAACGTATAGAAAATTATTGTAAACAATACAACAAATACCACAGAAACACCTGTGATATTTAATAATTCTTAACATTTTCACATATTTCCTTCAGACCTCTCATTTTATAAAGGAAAAAGATATTTTAAATAAAACAGTACGGATATAGTTGAAGCCCTTTTAATAAATAATATGAATATTGTTTTGCTTGTTTATAAACGTTATATAAATGTGTGCACTTATCTTTCAATAAGTAGCTTTCTTTCACTTTATGTTTTGTTTGAAAGATTCATTTATATTAATCCAGTCCACATACAGTACATTTTAACTGTTGTATAGTATACTACTGTGTGAATATATGACAATTTGTTTATCCCTTAGCCTGGGATAGACATTTAGGATGTTTCCGTGTTTTTGCTCTGACAAACAACGCTGCATCGATGTTTTGCACTAAACTTCTCAGGCATGGGCGTGAGAAATTCCCTAGGGTACATCCCTAGAAGTAGAATTGCTGAGTCAAAGGGCGAAGCTCTCCACCTTTGCAGATATTGCCCAATTATTCTCCAAAGATCTGTACTGATCTGCATTTCCAGAGGTGTGTGACAGTTCTCATGGCTTCACGTCTTCCCAATGTAGGGCATTAAAAGACTTGAATTTGTGCCCATCTGATGAGCACGAGAGAACCTCACTGTTGCTCTGACTGACATTTCCCTGGGGTTGCACATGTCCTCCTGTATTTGCTGTCCCTCAAGGTTCTTCCTCAGTGGATTGTCTAATCATATTCTTTGCCCATTTTTCTCTTTGTTGATTGCCTTTCCTTATTTTGAAAGAGTTATTTATCGTTTTCTTGTAACATCTTTATTGAGGTGTAATTCTCACACTGTACTCGTCGCTCACTTAAAGTGTACAATTTAGTGGCTTTCAGTATATTCCCAGAGTTGTGCATCCATCACTACAATCAACTCTAGAATCAAGTTCTAGAATTCTAGAAATATTTTACCAGCCCGCAAAAAACTCTGTACACTTAGCCATCACCCCCCAGTCCCTCATTTCCTGCAGCCCCAGGCAACCACCAATCCCTTCTCTGTCCCTCTAGATTTGCCTGTTCTGGACATTTCATATAAATGGAATCAGACAAGATGTGGTCTTTTGTACCTGGCTTCTTTCATTTAGCATATTTTCAAGGTTCGTCCATGTTGTGATATGTATCAGTACTTCGTTTATTTTTTTATTATGGTAAAATATACATACCAAAATTTACCACTTGAACCATGTTTAAGTGTTGAGTTCACTGCCACTAAGTACCTGGCGATGCTACCGTCACCACCATCCATCTCCAGAACTTTTTTGTCTTCCCAAACTGCAACTCTGCTCTCATTAAATAAAAACCCCCCCTCACCCTTCTCCCCAGGCTCTGGCAACCACCATCCTACTTTCTTTCTCTATGAATTTGACTACCGTAGGTACCTCATGTGAGTGAAATCATACAATATTTGCCCTTTTGTGACTAGCTTACTTCACTTAGCATAATGTCTTCAAGGGTCATCCATGTTGTAGCATGTGTCAGAATTTCCGTCCTTTTTAAGGCTAAATAATATTCCTTTGTGTGGATATACCACATTTTGTTTATCCATTCATCTGTTGATAGACACTTGGGTTGTTTCCACCTTTTGGATATTATGCTGCTATGAACATTGGTGTACAAATATATATTTGAATCCTTGCTTTCAATTATTTTGGACATATACCCAGAAATGGAATTGCTGGATTATATGGCAATACTATGAGTAATTTTTTGGGGAGCTGCCATACTGTTTTTCTGTTTATATATTCCTGACACTTGTCTTTTATTGGTTTTGTTTGTTGCAAATATATTTCTCCAATACATAACTGTCTTTTTCTTTATTGTATAGGGATTTCCATTTTAACATCACACTTATGACTCTTTCCTTTAATGCTTTTTCTTCTTGTATCTTATTTAAGATGCTTTCCCACCCCAATGTTAGAAGATATTCTTCTGTATTTCCCCTTTTTCCATGTAAGTCTTTAATCTCCCTGAATTGACCTCTTTGCATGTTGTGAGGTAAGGATCTAATCTAACTTTTTCCCACGTGGATAACCAAATGTCCCAAATAGCAAGCCCATACATTCTCCGCAAATTTGTAATTCTACGTCTGTCCTAGACCAACTTCCATATGGGTCAATTTCTGGGTTTTCTGGTCTTCTCAATTGATCCACTTTCTATTCTTGCCTCACTGCACTGTATTAATTACAAGAGCTTTTTAAATGTCTTAATATTTAGAGAACAAGTCCCACATCATATTCATTTGCTTTAAAATCGTCTTATCTATTTTTGGTCCTTTATGCTTGCATGTGAATCTCAGGATTCTCTACTCAAGTTTCATGAACTGCATTGAATTTATAGATAACATTAAGTGTGTACTGAAACCTTTGTGATATTGTACATTTTCATCCATGATACCAAGGTCCCGACTCCAACTGCTTCGTTTTACAAATAAGGACCCTGTTGACATTCCCATGACTCTACAGAGAATCAGAGGAAGAGCCAAGTCTAGAACCTCCAATCCCCTTGCCTAATGCTTGTTCCACTAACTTCAGATAGGGACTCCCACCCCTCCAAATGACAGAGCCTTGCCTTCCATTATCTGTCTACATAAGCCGAGGCATTAAGTCATTCATTCATTCAATTAGCATTTTTGAGCGCCAACAGACCTTTTGGCTCAGGTCGTGGGCACAGTTCCTCCTCCTACCCTGCAATAGGATGCAGCTGCAGGGGCTGGGCGAAGACCCAGAGCCATCCCGTGGGAGCTAAAATTGGCTCGGGGCCCCTGTGTATGGTCAGTGAAGAGGGGCAGATGCAGCAACCGGGAGGAAAGAGAGCGCGTGCGGGTACTAGGAGGACGCGGCATTGGGAGTCAGAGGCCGTGCGGGTAAGAACAGTACTGACTCACACTCACCAGCCCACAGGAAACCAGAGTGCCAATGGATTAATTTATTGTTAAAATAAAATATGGCTGCCAGGGGCACCATCACTTACTTCCTATTACCAAACATTTGCTCCATGTATGCAAATTACACGGGAAGCCAAATGATCAGCAGAAGTTTGCTCCATGACCTCAGAGCAAGAGCGGGAAGAACTGTTTATGATTTGAATGTGTCCTAAAGTCAGGTGTACTTGTTTCCAAAACAGGGCATTGTCAGCACTGGAGGTGAACAATGCTGGGCTGAGGACTCTCCCTGCAGTGGATGGACACCAGTGTCTGCTCCCCGAGTCCCTTCCCTCTGCTTCCAAGACGGCCCGCTCTCCTTCGAAAACACACACTCTTTCATCGGACATGATCACACTGTGATCTGATTGGAGCCAGAGTCTTTTGCTCCTCTAATTTGAATTATAGTTTAATTTTTAAAGTGGGCATTTCCAATTTCTTGGGGACAGGAAGAAGCTCCATTTGGGCAACAAGGAAGCAGAGGCTCAAAGAAGTTAAGGGACTCATTTATCCAGGGTTGCCCAGAGAGTGATGGCCTGAACTGAACTTCAAGCCGGGTTTAAATCCAATTGAAAGAGAAATGTCTGAAAATACAAAGCAGTGAAGGTTAAATGGCTAAACTTGGCACCTAACCACATCAACCCCTGCGGTTAAGAAACTTGACAGTGAAGACCCTGACTTCTATTCCTACATAATTTCCCACAGTGCCTGGTCCAAAATGTGCTCACACAGACATTTCATACATGTTGACAGCAAAGCTCTCCCCTCCACTCCAAATGGTCCCAAACACACACAGAGGCATAGGACACTAAGCCATGTTGCTTCCCTTTTCCCATCGAATCACCTTTCAAACACAGGGTCTACTTCAGGGAGTACCTGGAAGTTCTTTCCTCTAGGGTCCACTTCCCTCCTTTCCCTGTCCCACCTGCCTTTTGACCTTTCTGGCCCCCTGGGATCCCACCCCATCCTAGAGCTGCTCCCCAGAGTCCTTGGCGTGGTGATGACCATTATTTCTAGCCCCATCCCCAGAGGCAGAGGTAGGTGCTACCTATACATCCTAGACCAGCACAACTTTCTCTGACCACGGCCATGGCCCTCATCATGAGTATGGGGTCTCTTTGCTAGCAAAGCCTCCGTGCCTTCCCCCGTGTGACAGAAGATCCTCTCCCTCTCAGGACTGTGAAGCAGAAGGAAGGAGGGAGTGATGTCAGAAGAAAATTCCATCAGGCCACACATTCAACCGATATGTATTGAGTGTCCGTGGGACACATGTGTTGCAATGAACTGAGCCCTGAAAGAGGTCAGGACACTAGGGTTCTAGTCCCTCTGCCACCAACTCAACCAATAGCCTTGAGACTGTCAGTTTAACCTCTCTTTGCCTCAGTTTCCCCATTTGCAAAGTAAAAGGATTTGGCTTGATGGTCTCTGAGCTCCCTTCCATCTCTGATAGCCCATGATTCTCTGTGCAAGAGCATTTTTAAGTATTCTTCAAAAGTGACATAAAATAAATAATAAATGTAGTAAGACATATACAAAGAACTATATTCCATTGAGAGGGAAGTCCTCTTAAGATTACTATAAACAATACCGCAAAGTGATTCTGGATGACTGCATGGAATTCATCCCTACATGGCTCATAAGAATGGATAAAATACCAGACTTGAGCAGGAAACCCTTGAGCAGGAAAGGAGAAGAAAGTGACGCTATGGTTTAAGCTTTCTGGTACACTGTTTTAAGTTATCTTATATTTTGCTTTTATGGTAGGCGAAAATATCTACTTGCAGAATGTTCAAATGAGTTGTCCATTTTCACATGCACATTACAAACGAGCAGAACATTTATCATCTGAGCTAACACAGCCATCTTTATTTAAGCTTGTTATGTTCAAGGCAAGAAATTCAGAATGTACAGGTTGTACTGACAACTCAATGTTTAAATCCGTTTCCGTTGAGGGTTCTTTCTTTTCCGAGTTCTTCTGACTTCCTTTTCCTTATCTGAGGAGTTCCTGAGCCGAGGCTTAGAGACGCACTTCAGAGGGTCCTTAACCCCTAAAATTGTAGGGTATATGGACTCTTGTATCCTAGCTTTCATCTGATTTTCAAAGGAACCTTTGACTCAAAAAATGGCCTCTGATTATGCTCCTTGTTGATTTGCAGGGGAGAAAAGTTTCCAAGCAAGACTTGTATGTGAACAGCAGCTTAGCAGCAAGAATCTGGATTCTGGCATCAGAGAAAACTGCTGAAGTCAACTTGCCAGCTGAGCTGTACTTTGGACAAGTTACCTGAGTACTGGGACTCTCAGAGGCCGCATCTCTGTAAAATGTGTGTTATTGTGAGGATGAAATTAGTTAACATCTGTAAACCCCGGCGCATCGTTGTTGCTCACTGGATGGTAGACTTGATGCACCCCATCAACAGCAAGGAAAACCAGAGCTGCCACCGAGTAGCTCCCAGGCACCAGCACACCCCGTAGACCTCACCTTGCTGGAGAACTAAAACACAAGCTCATGTCGGTCAACTGAGCCTCTTTGAACTCAGTGTTCCGTTGTCTTCAGAAGTTAAGCTTCTCCTCAAGAGTGGTTTCCTGAGAGCTGACTGAGAATTTCCACACACCGATGTCTAACCTCCAGGTTCCAACACCTCCCCTCGGGCAGACGTGGTAAGAGGAGAAACAGCTTCCACACCCACCCCAACGCTGAGCCTCGAGACTGTTCTCTCCTTCCACCTTTGCCAACAAAGCCACTTCCTTGTCCTCGAGGCACCTACGATCCTGCTTCTACTTCCTCCTTAACTTTCATTTCTCTTACCTTGTCTTGAGCCACATCCTCTGTGCTAGAAACAGCTCCCACTTCCTGCTAGCCCAGCACCCTCTGAACACTTCCTCCATGGCTGTCCTCTTGATCAGGAGCTTTGACACCCATATCTCTTGGGGATGTTCCTCAACCATACAGTCTACCTGATTGAGAACAAGCAAGTTGGTAGGTTCCTATCAAATATGCTGTGTGCAGGAGACCAGGAGGCCTGTCCGGCTCCCAGGTCCAGGTAGGGCACAGACCTGCTAGCTCCCACCTCTAAGCAAAAGCAAAAGAAAACTCCTCATGCATGTTCCTGGGACTTGGTACCTAACCTTATTTTCCCCATTTTCCTGGGAT